ATACCATCCACGAGCCGCTTATACTTTTAGCTGATCTCTGATGTGGTCTCTTGTGTCCGAAACACAGTTTTAGAGAATCGGAACGAATTTCGACACAATTATTGCAAAATGCAATGATTGGCGCCATCGGGAAGATTGACAGAAACAGAAACACATAACCAAATTGTATGTAAAGCTCTAAATAGTCATAATAAGTGCCCTGATAATTGAAATATGTGATTATATAATTGGTATTAAATGTATACAAGAAAATTTGTCAATTATTTCAAACCTCATACGGAGGCAATTGTTTCTCATAATTAATTCTTGCGATTGTCGGCAATAAATCAGACTTTTTTCTGTTCATTTCAAAATTCTTATACAGTCTATAAGTTTTAATGAGAGGATATATAACCTCTAGAATATTATCGACCAATTGGTTGACAATAAGCATTGTTCCCAATTGCTGTCAAAAGAGTAATCATGTAATCAAGTTTATGACGCTATTATATCGGTAAATGCAAAACACTAACCCATTTCAACATTTGTAAATCTTTCAGATAGAATGCAATGTAGAAAAGGCTCATAAAGTTGTTCACGAATTCAAACTTAGTTTTTGAAGAAAACAATCAATAAATAATCATTACTTATAAAAATTTCTATATTTTACTATATTTTATACCAAAACTAATTTAATAATCCAATGATTTTCATGTGATGTCTGTGTCCTATGATTTTCTGTATAAAGAAACAAATATGAAACAAATGACTATAAAATCGTAGACTTCATGTGACTACAAACCCCATTCATTGAGTTTAGTGGCTATTTTGCCGTAAATGTTATTCATAATCATAACAACGATTGCATATATAATTCCGGGCATAAAAGAAATCACTTTTTGAACGCCAGTCGGATCGGGACCTAAATAGTGCAGCAAATCCTCCTCTAATTGAAAGTAAAGGCACATCACGTGGAAAGAGACGCCGAGACTAAACATAACGATAGGCAACGAAACGCCGTACTCTCTTAACCACGTCTTATATATGGGATAAATAGGAGTCAAATGTTTGGTTATGGGGTCTTCTGTCATGGTTTTGCCGCGAAAGGTAGGGCGCGGGCCCTCCAGCTGAACGTCGCCTATAGTTCCCCATCGAAACGCCAATTCATTGGATTTTCTGGTCCATTGTTTCAGAAATATGGGAATCCATAGCATATAGAAAACGGCACAAAATATGTTCATTTCATTGAGAAACAGGAACTGAAAGATTCCAAACACTCCCGGAATCAATAGACTATTTGTATAGAACTCTAAGAATGCAAAATAAAAAGCTATCTTTTCGCCAAAATAGTTACGAATATCATCTGACAAGACATTCAGAAAATGATTAAATTCTAGTATATAGTACTCAACCAAAAACTTACGGATTGGCTGTTTTTTGAATGAGAAGCACCACTTAGTCTTGAGTGCATCCAGAGTTGGGTTGTCGTGAAGTGGGAAGTATTCGGTGACTATATTCTCGCGCTGACACACTTGTACTGCATATGTATGAACAACTATTTAATATAATTGCAAATAACAATAAAATTCTGTATTCTCACGGATAGACTGTCCCGGGTATAACCTTACATTGGGGTATCCAAACAAAACTCCTATTAAACATCAACTTAATCAGTAAATAGTAAATCAATTTAAAAATAGAAACCTAAATAGAGATATTAACATTCAACTCCAATAGAATGTTAGAATATTCTGTAAAATATTTAGAAATTAATTCACCAACTAAATTGAATCTTATATGATTATGGTAGACCATGATAAAAGTATTGTAAATCATGTGCCAAATGACCATTAAATCATTCGAAACATTCGTAACCCTATTATCCCCACATTCTTACTTCAGTGCATTACACTAACAATAATTGTTACAATTATTGTAAGCATTAGACTACTGTAGAACATTGAAAAGGTAAAACTTAGCCAGGTTCACATAAATTGCATTCAATACTAGAAATGGCATATTATACTAATCAGGTAAATCTAAATGAAAATTCTTATAAAAATTACAAAATAAATTTCTAATACAGAATATCTGACAGATTCTGTAAGCGCTATACTATAGACACAAATATAGTGGTAAATGAAGACCTCTTTCAATGGAGTGAAGACTTTCCAATTGGAAGAGCAAAACACGCTGTCGTTCAGAGACCGTCAGACAGTCACCGGAATCCATGTTCTGGTCGTCCACACGAAACACACGACACAAACACTCCGAGCCATTGAATGTCTTCAGATCGATGGCATCGGCGCTGATATTAATGGTGGCGTTCGTAGCGCTCACGTGAAGCGTGATATCCGAGTCGTTAATGTCCTCAATACGGTTCAGGAGGAAGTGTCCGTCACTTTCGGACCGCGACTTCTGCAGCAGTTCCAGCAGCCATTGAATGGTTATGTTTTGTGTCAACCCATTGATCACAACGATATATAGGTCCAGACGCTTGTCTTCGCGCCATTCGCTGGATATCTGATCCAAAAGCGATTGTCTCTCACACACAGCCGATGCCGAAGAGTGTCTTCTTTGCATAGTATCCGCAAAACTCTTCGGGGAATCACTTTATGATCGAAACAAATGTTTATTTACTTTCTTTGGCACCGATTTGACGGCATTTTCGGTTTCCTCTTCAATATCAATGTTATGTCGAAATGTGAGACAATTTTATGAACACATTAACCACCGATTAATTGAATAGACAATTGAAACTAAATGAAAGCCCTATTAATAGATCCAGATCAATTAGTACTCAAATATGGATTTAAAGTTACTGTCAATTGATTACAAAAAACTTATTTTTAAAAAGTTATTTAAAACCCAGAGTTTGCCATAAATTACGGCCACTTCTTATGACCCCATTTGTCGTCGCGTTTGACGTAACCGTACGTTGAGTTCAAATTGTGTGCAAAAAATGGTGTAAATAATGAGTGAATTGCACTTTAATTGGCGTTAAATTGGGTTTATTTTGGGTTTTATTACATAATCTCTAATATAATTACAAATGAATGATCAGTTTGTGTGTATTGACAGCCAATGCATGTAATGTGTGTTTATGATTGTGTCACAAATGACTGCAAACAACACAATGAGAGCATTGACTGAAAGCATGAATCGCCGCAAAAGTAAGCGTTTGAGTGAGAAATGCATTGAAGATAATGAGACCATCGCTGACACCACACGTGTGAAGACTATTAAGACAAGTGTTAAGACAAGTGTTAAGACAAGTGTTAAGACAAGTGTTAAGACAATCGGCAAATGTGTTGAACTGAAGGAGAATGAGTCGATTGACACGAAACCGATGGTACAAACGCCGCCAAAAGCCATCAATGGTCTCGTGGTGTCTGATCGTAGGTATCACTTAAGAAAGACACCACCGATTGACTGGAAGGAGACACTGGACTCAAGACACATGTGTGCGGATAAACCTGTTGTCAAAAANTCTGATCGTAGGTATCACTTAAGAAAGACACCACCGATTGACTGGAAGGAGACACTGGACTCAAGACACATGTGTGCGGATAAACCTGTTGTCAAAAAGATTAAAATGGATGTCAAAAGTGATGATAAGACTGAGAAGAATGTAAGTAATGGTGATGTCTTCACAATGAATAACAAACCAGTGGTCACCACAAGACAGTCGTCGCGTCTTTTGACTAAAATTAATGACAAAAATGAGAATCACGTGAAGACAACGAGGAATAGAGTGAATGGTAAAAGTGTTTCAAGAATTAATAATTCAGAGAATATGACAAAAGGTTATAAGAAAGACATGAAAAGGAGGGAAACGAAGACACAAACCAAAGACATTGTTCGCGAGGAAGTGATTGAAGAGAGCGTTGAAGTGAATGGTTTTGACACTACTTCTGGAGATCGAGAGCCAGTGAATCCATCCACCGATTTGAGCGATAGAGACAACACTTGTGTTGAATTGATTGATAATAATTCAAACAGTGATAAGACTGAGAAGAATATTATGAACAGAAATGTTGTCTCGAAAACTATTGACAAACCAGTGGTGACCACAAGACAATCGTCGCGTCTTTTGACTAAAATTAATGACAAAAATGGGAATCAAGTGAAGACA